CTCAGTTCCTCACCCTCTCACCCTCTCACCATCTCAGACAATGGCAACAGATGAAAACTCAGTTCCTCACCCTCTCACCCTCTCACCATCACTGACCTGACTTCATCCAACTCAGTTCCTCTAATTGGTGTGTACTTTGCAGGGCTAATGGTGATGATTGCTCTCACTTTCTTTTAACCTGTTCTTTTTCTGTTGCTATTTGGGGTTGGATCTTGCTTTGTTTGATTGTAGATGGAATTTGACCACAGCCATAGATCAGATCTTTGATCCTTCCTTCTTTGTGTGGCCCACAAAAATTGGTAAAACAATGTGGAGGTGCATTAGAGCTGCTGCTTTGTGGACAATTTGGGAAGAAAGAAATGTGAGGATCTTCCAAGAGAAGGAGAGAAATATTCAGAATGTAAAGGATTGCATTTTGACCAGGGCAGTCCATTGGCTGAGATCATTAGATTCCTTTAAATTATATTCTTCTGATGACATGTGGGGGACCGGACAAAGCTGAATTTTGATGGTAGCAGCCAAGGAAATCCGGGTCCATCAGGGATAGGTGGGGTGCTGAGAGATAAAGATAGTTATATATTAGCTTTATTCTCAGTCTCTGTGGGTATAGGGACTCTATTAGAGCTGAGCTTCTAGCGGCAGTACAAGGTATTCAGATTGCAGACCAGTTAGGAGTTCAAAATTTGATTATTGAAGGAGACTCCAAAGTTGTTGTGGGTTAGTTAAAAAATTCAGCTTCAGTGATTTGGTGCTACAGGGATATTATGAGGAAAGCTAATTGGTTCTCAAGGAACATGAATGTTAATTATCAGTGGGTGGGTAGAACAGCTAACACCATAGCGGATGGGTTAGCTAAACAAGGGGTATCAAGGGAACATTTATTCTGGGCAGCTTTGTAAATTTTTTGTTACTAGTCTGAGGTAGTACATTGTTGTTGTTGTGGAAAGGTGCTAGCTCGTGCCTCTCCTTTGGGCAGGCTGTATTGTAATATCTTTTTGAACTTATTGAATAAAATTTCAATCATTTATCAAAAAAAAAAAAAAACAGTGAAAGGAATCAAACCTTGGATCTTATTTACTTAAAAGAACATCAAAAGATAGGTGCATTCCATGAATAACAAAAAACCCCAAACTTCCTAATCCATTGAACAAGGAATATATTGCTCTAGATTTCCTAACACACTTCTCAATATTCTTTTTAATTTTTGAGTTGTCCATAATAAAGAATCGAAGAAACAATAGCAGAATACTTGCGCAGAAGTGAGGTGCAAAGGCATACACCTTGACTGAACCCTGGGAAAGTCCCTTTAGAAGACATGCCTTGTTTGATTAATAACAATAAATTTATTAAAAATTATAAATCAGATACAATAAAGTACATGGGGAGAGGTAACCAATCTTAATTCTCTCCAAGACAGATATCGATTACAACAAAGCACAAAATAGGCTTTCCCTTCCCACCCCTTGTTTTGCAAGTGTATCTGCAAAGGAATTAGCAGTCCTCTTTACCCATGGTAGACTTATTTCCATGTCCCTTCTCAGCCACTTGTACATCCTTTTTTCATTAGCAAATTTCTATATCTCATTCTCCTTCTTTAGCAGTCAGCCTACAACTAGTTTAGAATCTCCCCCAACAATTAGCTTCCCAACAGAAAGCTCCTATTCTAGGAGGAATTGGGTTACCCCAAACTTCCTTTACTGGAAAAGGTTACTCCAGGCCATCAGAAGACTGCGAAAGAGCTCTAAAGAAATAGGCAGAAGAGAAAGAACCTGAGGGAGACAAGGTCCAAATCCTTTTATCCCCTTATAATGGATCTAACACCACTCCATCCAGGACTTTAATTAGGATTGAGACAGTTTAATTTAGAATCTCTTAGACCCCCTCTAAAAACCCAGATCCCACTCAAATCTGAAAAAAGAATTGGAAGGATCTAACACCACCCCTTTGGAAGACGTGCTTTTGGTTTGTGCTTTTTTTTTGTGGGAATGCTTAGTTCTGTGTAAAGAACTGTGATTGAAATCACTAACGGTCAGGGGCACTGCCTTTAACCCACACAAGGACTTGTTTAGGCTTGCCTCAAGGGGCCTTTTCAGAGGCAGAGGGTCAACCTCGTAGGATTATGAAGTAATCATGTAATGCGACTAGGACACCTTGAAAGTTTCACATACTTGAATTGTTGAGTGCCTGAAGAACTTTGGTATGATTAACATATTCTTCATTTCACTCCCACTTTGTCAATTTGAATATATTTTATTTGTTATGATTATGTATTTCAATTTGAGCCAACGGGACTTTTAAAATATTTAATTTCTTTTAAAATTTGGGTTTGCATTTTTATGCATTACTGTTTTTTATTATTTATTTTAAAAAAATCATGCCTTGAAAAGGAAACATGTCAAGCCTTGTACCTTGGGCGCTACAGGGCACTTGCGACATGACATTAAACAGAATGGAATGGTGAAACAGGATTCATGAAGCCAATCCCATATAGTTGGGATGAGGCTTAGATGAGAGAGAGAGAGAGGGAGGGAGGGCTGGCTCCTGTATGAAGTTGTTCTTACATAAATATTCCTAGTAATTGACTAATAGTTAACCTACTTAATTAACTATGCTTATCATCTCAACCATCTCTTCATCCCCATCAGTTTGCACCTGCATTTTTTTGCCCGTATGTTTTGTCTTGTCTCCAGCATAAAGTTGTTAGACACAATGCATTGCTAGTTTAGACCTGATCTTGGATGGACTTTAAAGGTGCTATTCATATAAAATAAAATCATTGACACCGTGTTCAATGCAGGCAGCCATAAAGACCATAGGCGATGAGGACAAATATTTTTCAAGAGTGTCCTTAAGGTTTGATCCTTCTTGACTGCAGTCTCTGGTTTGAATTAGAAGTCTAATTCCATCTTTTGCCATCATTCTCTGTTATGTTATCTGGTTTTTTGAGAAAAAATTGCAGAATTTAAATTATGCATCTCCACCACTACCAGGATACCATCATTTGGAATCACAGTTACACCCTCCCAAGTGGATTTATCAAAGATGAAATCTAATCCTGATGGAAGCTCTGGTGTTATTTCAAAAGGAAATTCTTCCTCTGAGTTGACTCTTGATGGTTGGGATGGTATTGCCCTTGAATATTCTGTTGATTGGCCGTTACAATTGTTCTTCACACAAGAGGTGCTTTCTAAGTAAGGCCTCATGTTTATTGCTGTTTTCAAATGTCTTGTCTATGCCTTGTTAGAGTTACTGTAGATTTTCTTAGCCTCATCTTAATGTGTTTAACATGAGTCTTCAGGTATCAAAGGGTTTTCCAATATTTGCTTAGATTGAAACGTACACAAATGGAACTGGAAAAGTCGTGGGCTTCTGTGATGCATCAAGATCACACAGATTTTGTAAAACGTCAAAATGATCGAATGAATTGCTCCATAACTCAGCAGCGTCGGCAACGGTTTAGACCAATGTGGCATGTTAGAGAGCATATGGCCTTCTTGATTAGAAACCTCCAGTTTTATATCCAGGTCATGAGTTTTAATATGACACTTTGAAATTTATTAATTAACTATTATGTGTGACAATTGTTCCAGTTTACTGTCAAAACTGAATTGATATGGATATTGTTTCAGTTTTGTTTGTAGCACCAAGTCTTGAATGCAAAACCTACTAAGTTTTGGTGAAACTTCATTAAAGTTTTTAGAAGGTTATCTCCATAGGATAAGATAATGCAGAATCATGGTCAAAATGTAGGTAGCATTTCAATGAAATCTCTGTAATAAATTAATAAAACAAAATAAAATAACAATATGTTTGTAAGCTCAATTAACTTTTGAAGATATTTACTTTGAAGGCCAACTATTTTATCATGTCAGTTATGGCCTGGCCTAGAAATTGGTTTAAACACAACATTTTCTAACAAGTATATATTTGTCAGGACACAAATAATAAGTTCTTAAATAATGCAATCTGGTCATGTAGATTTTGCCATGTTCTTTTGCTATTTTTTTCTAGTATAAGTAACACACTGTGCAACTATTTCCAAACAAGACTTATTAATGCAGTGTTGATCAGCCTGTGCTCATGAGCTATAAGCATTTTATAAAAGAAATACACATCAAATAGTTTTTCCATAATTATCTTTTTTTGAAAGAAGGTAAGGTAATTTTATTAAATAGTAGTAGAGAATACAGAGGGGCCCCAGAAAAGGAGCAATTTGACAGAGTACAACTCAAACAAACTTCTAGACCTTAGCTGTGCTCCAAGCACCCTAGACCGGAGACCTTTCATAGTTGCCGTCCAAGAAACTAATTTTCCTACAGTACAAGATATAATACAGTCTACATCCTTTGATTTGTTTTGAAAAATTCTTCCTATTTCTTTCCACCCAGATAGTACCGATCACTGCTGCAGGAATAGCCAACCACATATTTTTTTGCCAGTTTGGAGAGGCCTTAGAGTTCCCAGCTCCATAACAGGTCCAACAGATTACTTGGCATGACTCAGGAGAGGCCCACAGAAAAGAGGAAATGCCCCCATAATGCTGCTGAAACAGGACAATGAATACATAGATGGTTGTTGTCCTCCTCAGCTTGACCACATAGCTCACACAACAGGTTTTGAATCTGAGTTTCTCTTCTGACCAGATTCTGTTTAGTTAGGTTTCTATCCAAAGCTACAGCTTAAAGCAATGCATTTACTTTAGATGGGGGAATTTGGCTCCATATTTTATCAGCAGGAAAATTCACTCTATCCCCACCTGATAACATTCTGGCAAAGGAGTTCACTGAAAAAATTCCATCTGCAGTCCACTTTCAGGTCCAACTGTCTTCTTCCAACAAGTTTAAAGCCTGACTGGAAAGCATTTCAAACAGTTCCACCACTTGATCCACTTCCCAATCTTGAAAAGCTCTTCTGAAAGGACTCCAGGAAATGATATTTTCTCTCAATTTACAGCAATCAGCTACCATTGCATCCTGATTCTCTGCAAGTTGGTATAACTGGGGGAACAGCTCTTCTAAAGACCTGCTGTTGCACCATTTATCTTTCCAGAATTTCAGCCGATGACCAGAACACAGTTTAGGAGATAGACCACTGTTTAGAAGAGGAAAAATTTCTGTAACTTTCTTCCATAAAGAACATCCCAGAGAAGAGAAGTTTGAAATGGTTATCCAGTCACCTCTGTCAGTTTCATACTTGGCTGCTAATAATTTCCTCCACCAACTGTCTCTTTCTTTTCCAAATCCCCATATTCATTTCCCCAGTGATTATCTTCGACAGTAACTTTCATTGATAATTAGATTTTGGGGAAATTTTCCTACATTTATGTTGAGTTGGGCCTAGTTGTTTTTATTCTTATTTTAAGTTATTTAGTTAGGAAGTTGTTGGGCTTTAGGCCCATTAGTTTATGTTTTTAAGTTGTGACTGTTCAGCTACATTAGTAGCCACCCTACTAAGGGCATCTTTGTAATATCTCATCCTTTAAGTTAAGTATAAATATAATGAGGGGTTGGCGGCTAGGGTTAATCTAAGAATCCTGGTTGACTTCCTACTCTTTTCTCCTTCTCTTTTCTTCTCTACTGCTGAAATCTTTATCTTCCTCCTCTTTCCCTTCACAAGAAATTTGACTAAATCTGCAATCAGTGATTTCTACTATTTACTTTGGGGGAAGCTGGAATATAGTCTTTGCACACAGCCTATTCCTTTCTCTTTTATTCAATATAAGCACAGTACAATGACTAAAATATCCTTGCTACATTGAGCATAGACACTTTAATATAATCGGAAAATATATTGATGACAGAGACCTAAACAACTCGTGTGGGGACACTGCTATCATCACCCATGCCTTATACCAACTATATGGGGTCGGCTCATGAGTCCTGTTTTGCCAATCTGTTCTATTTAAAGCCATATCCACTTTAAATTTTAAAATGCTTTACTTGCTACTTTTTCAATTGTGTGCATCATAAAGCATCAATTGGTAAGGACTAAGGATTGAATAGATGTCTTTAGTTGGTTCAGTTTTAGATTTCTTGCTGTTAGACAACAGGGTGGGTTTTGAACTCCAATCAACTTTTGAGATGCTAATAGCCCCTCTATTTGTTGAACAACTTGTGGCTTTTATTTGCTCATAGATAGGTTCAATATTTTCTTTTCTTTTTCAGGTGGATGTGATAGAATCTCAATGGAACCTTTTACAAGAACGTGTGCATGATTCTCATGATTTCACTGAACTTGTGGGCTTTCATCAAGAGTAAGTAAAGTAAATTGCTTTTGAATATTATCATTGATACTACTATTTCTTATTTTTCTTTTATCATTAATTTCCCTCTTGTAATTATCGAAGTAGATTATTTAAAGTTGAAGACCCAGACTCGGAAAAACCGACATTTAATACTTTCTCATGTCTGTTAAAGCTATGTTTGTTTTTATAGAAAACAAGAGAGAATTGGAAAGTTGAGGCAAACCCAAGTTCCTTTTGAACTTTCCCTACTTGTCATTTCTCCTTTATTTCCTAAAAAACCAAACACAGCTTATGTTGCTCTGAAGACCCTTCGATCAAGGTGTTTTCTGGAATTATTGATTCCAAATCTAGGTTTGTGCCTTCTACACTGTTCACCATTAATTTTTTTTTTTTTTTTATGGAAAGTAAAATTACCATTCCGACAAAAAGCTTGAGTACATCGTGCTTAGGAAAGGAGGTAAGTCAAAACAAGCAACCTCCCTATTAAGGGTTTGAGCCCTTTTAGCAATTTCATGGGCCAAACCATTCCTGTCCCTTGGAATAAACCTTTAAGTCACAGAAAGATTAACAGACAAAAACTTGATATGGTCCACCAGCTGCCATAACTCCAGGGTAACACGAACGTCCCCAGAATTTAGAATATTTACAGCATTTAAATTATCAGAAAAGACAAATATTCTTGGGACAACGTTCAACAGCAAAAGATAAAGCAGCCTGGATCACACTCAATTCCATCTGTAACACCGAACCAGCTACCTGAGATTTCCTCCCTACAGCAGCCAGAAAAGAGCCTGACAGCCTGTGTTAGTCAGACAAACAAAAGCAAAGGCCCCATGACCATTAGGACAAACACTCCCATCACATAAAAATAAATAATGTGCCCCATTACTTAAAGATCGCCAAGATGGGGTGATATATACTTGCTTACTAGTAAAATCATCATTATCTTCCTGGTTATTCAAAATACTGAAGACATCATTCATCACTTTTCGAATGTAAGAGAAAGCTTGCTGAGCTGTCCAAGATTTTCCTCTAAAAATGATATCATTTCTGAACCACCAAATATGATAAGCAATTATAGACAATCACAATAGAAACCCTACCCAATCTTGTTTATTATTAAGGGAGACAAAAGCAGAGGAGATCATCTCCAGCACAGAATTTTGCCCCACCCCTATAAGGCTTCCCATTAGAACCGGATTACTCTAGCAAAAGGGCAAAGAAAAGAGGTGCATAATCAATTAATTATCAACCCTACAAAAACTACACAAGATAGAACAAGCAAACCCCTTACAGTTCAGAACTTAAGAGGTAATGACAAAACCACGTATTCGACAAGTTGTCATGCGACTAATCTAACTAGTCTTACTAGGAATGGGCTAAGGTCCATTTCTTTAAGTAGTTCATGTACATAACTGTTGCAAGCCTTATTGGGCTTGACTAATGTATGGCATGGGACCCACAAAGGTCTCATATCAGCCCACATTGGGTTCAGCCCATGCTTGGAGAGGCATAGCCCAAATTCACTACACAAGGGTAGTGGGCCCCTGAGCCAATTGAATTGGGCTCAGTTTGGGCTCATCACTTAAGTCTTAAGTATTCCTTGGTTTCAACTACCTTATGAAGCCCAAGGATAATGGATTGATATGAGATAAAGCCCATTAGGTTTCAACACTGTAATGGCCTCTTGCCCCTAACATCTCAGCCCTAAATTATCAAAACATTGCTCACAGGGAAGGACCTCTTCCTTGACTGTAAAATGCAGTGTCACACCCTTTGCTTAGATATAGCGTAGGATTAAAACCTTTTGCAAACCATTTGTAGAAAATGACATAATATAAGTATAAGTACATTTTGCAAAGAGATTTCAAATATAGTTGAAATCTACTACCGATAGTTTTAGGTTTCCATAAACGAGAATGTAAACCTTGATATTCACTTTGTTTGACAAAGGGGCTAATCCTATCATGATAGCCCACTTAGGTAATATCCTAAACTGCTCTAACATACCCAGGTATTTGACCTTACGAGGATTTCATTGGTTGGCATATCAAAGGTAGCTCAGTCTAAGACCTGTAGTATCATTATCAAGTCCGGGGTTAAGTGCAACTTTCTAGTTTTGCTCATCTATCTCCAAGGTCCAGGGCACAAGTGGAAATTGGTCCATGTTAAGTGTTATTTACAAATACCCATTGTCTATACTTAGGGTTTAAACGTAACAGCTGAGACAAGTTGCTCCACCAATTTGGCAGCACATCGGTGTCAGCCTTGTTAGGATAAACTCCCCAAGTTTATCCAATGGTTGAGTACTTTTTTTTTTTTTGATACTTGAAATGATTTTATAAATCAGCAATAAAAATAGTACAAAGTCCTCCTGGAAAGGTACGAGTTGCAACCTCTCCGGGCTGGTTAAGTACAGATTTCCAAATTAATAACAACTTACATAGAAGCACAAAAAAGATCTTCCCTAGAAA